AACCAACTGAGCCAACAGTGTGGCTTTAGACCTGGCAAGTCTAATTTTGGGAAGAACCTTCGATATACAATTTGCACACGCCATCTTTTTGTCGATTCTAGAGCTGCCTTTGATAGCACGAAAAGAAGCTGCCTGTACGATGACATGTCTAAATTTGGGATCCCCGCAAAACTAGTATGGCTATGTAGTGTGACGTTGAGCATAACTTTCAGCACCGTCAAAATTGGGAAGGAGTGATTTTTTCTCAATCTGATGCTGGAAAGCGTGAAGAGCTGCCAGCCTGAATCCTGAATCCAGCACCATAAACAGCAAAATCACGATACTGCTGGCGTATGCAGATGATACTGACATCGTTGGCATGAAACCCAGAGATATCAGCGCAGCATTTTGCAGCTTAGAAAAAGTAAGTAACGAGGTTGGTTTAGCAGTCAACGAGGACAAGGCAAAGAACCTCCTGGCAACACTTTAAAAGTCTTCGCATATTAGGACACACGTCACTGTTGGTAGTCATAACTTTGAAGTAGTGAGTGACTTTGTTTACTTAGGATACAGCATAAACACAACCAATAATATCAGTCTACAGATAAAGCGAAGAAAAATCTTGCTAACAGATGCTACTTTGGGCTCGGTGGACAATTTAAACGCAGGACCCTCTCTCGACGAACAAAAATCACGCTCTACAAATCTCTCATAATGCCCGTATGCAGTGATCGGACTTGAAAAAAAATTTGTGTGGTAGAATCTGGAAAAAACGTGGTCGATTTCAAAAAAATGTGGTAGATCTCAGGTTTTGGATCAAACTTTGTACAAAAATTAAAAATTTTCTGCACGGTTTCACCTAAATTGCAAACATTTTAATTCAAATCCAAGAAAATTTTATTTTAGTATAATAAAGTGCAAGATGGAAGTTGCTAAAAATTCCGTTGAGTTTTGGCAATTTTTTCCTTGACAGTGTAAGCAGTTCCTTGCATATCAAGATATTTTTCGAACATATTTGGAAAGATTTCTGTAACCTTGCGGAGTGCTGCACGCTTTTCTTTTTATCATATCACGATGTAGCGCACAAATGAGGCAAGTAAAAGTAAACAACGCTTTAGAAACTTTAGATGCACTGAAATTTTCTAATACTTTCACAAAAATCCCAATTTTTTCACATTTTCGCTATTAATTCCTTTTTATAAATCATACATTTTGCAATTTAACACAATAAAAATTGAATATTGAGAAAATTTACTATTTTAATGTTTATTTTATCCTCCCATTCTGCCTGTTGTTAGTGTTTAGTGTTGGACAATTTTTTTGTTAAAATTAGAAAATACTATCGATCGAATATGTGGTAGATTTCAGACCTTGTGTAGTAGATGTGGTAGATGCTCAAAAAAGTGGCAGATCTACCACAATGTGGTAGAAGTCCGATCACTGCCCGTATGGTGCAGAAACGTGGGCGATGAGTACCGAAGAAGATGGAATGACGAACTGTATGAGACTTTTAACGACATGGATATAGTTAAGCGCATAAAAATACAACGATTGCGCTGGCTTGGACATGTTGTACGCATGAATGACGACGCTCCGGTGAAAAGATCCTTCGCAAGGGCGCCCACGAACACAAAGGAAGGACCAAGTGCAGAAAGATCTGTTCCCACTTGGAATGAAGAGCTGGCGCAATTCCGCAAAGAAGAGAAGTTTTTCTCTGCCCGATAAACGGTTGCAGTGCCAAAAAGAAGAAGTTCTCACACCTTGCGTGAGGGCTCTGGGCCTAACTGACAAGGCTGCGCTTACCAAACTCCTTTTTGATGGGTCCTCGCCATAGAACAGAACACCTGAAAAACACGTTTCTATGGAAACGGCCAATCATCTTCTCATTTATGCGACCCTGAAAATGAAACAGTTAAATATCGGAAGGTATTAATGAGATTCACATTCGTAATAATATACATATGTATAAAAGTATGTATGTTTGTATGTGACAGTAGGAAGTGCTTGCAGCCATGACAAAAACATTACAAAGTTAATTCATTCCCTCAATTCGTCGGACATGATTTTTTTTCTGGCGTTTGCCAGCATTTTAAAATCATACAAAATTAAGAATAAAAAAATGAAATTGTTCACAATTGCTGTTGTTTGAGATTGAAAATGGGAATGTGTGTGTGAGTTTGGGTTTTGAATTTTTAAATTTAGTTGCTGGCAAACGTCAAACTGCCTCTCAATAGTTTTACCTTGTTATGTTTTTATCATGTTTGTAAATAGCTTCACCGTTCCCAATGAAAACAAATGTTTCGCTGTGAAATTTATGCTTACTGCATTAAAACGAATTACCTACCTCTATTGAGCTTCTTAAGTGGTGTTATCCAGTTTGACTGCTAACTTAGGTACATACATACATACATAACAACGCTATATACATACATATGTACACATTAGCGGTATGTACATATACCCTGCATATTTTTCCTTTTAGTCCAAATTATCATATCATACGCATATAAGTATGTACATATATACAGTTTTATTACTCAAGGACGCCGATTACACGTGTCAACTTGAAGTCTCGGTTCCGAAGTCTCATGTACTAGGATTAAAACACTCTGCCACATATGTACATATGTATATCTCGCATTTGAAATATTTTTTACATACATACATACGTATTAGCAGGGAGGAAATTTTTTCCAAAAACTTATCCCTAGATGTCCACAAATCATCCTGATCTT